TCATATTTGTTGTCAGTTTCAGCAAGGGACGCGCCAATGAGTGGAAGCACCCGTGCTGCAAATGTGTTGTCAGTTTCAGCGTAGGGACGCGCCAATGAGTGGAAGCACCCGCGCTGTTGGCAAGTGGAGTTCACCGTATCCAACGCATCGAAAAAAAAAAAAAAACACGTATCAGCACGGGACGCGCCAATGAGTGGAAGCACCCGTGCTGCATATGTGTTGTCAGTTTCAGCGAGGGACGCGCCAATGAGTGGAAGCACCCGCGCTGTTGGCAAGTGGAGTTCACCGTATCCAACGCATCGAAAAAAAAAAAAACACGTATCAGCACGGGACGCGCCAATGAGTGGAAGCACCCGTGCCGATGGCGAACCGGGGTTCACCGAATCCAAGAAAATATACATATAAAAAAAAAGAAGAGAAACCATCGCTAGTGTTCCAAAGAGAGAAATATTCGGGATTGGTCGACGTCCGGTGACCGTAGCGTCAGCAGCAATAATCACTCCATTCAATCCACAGGCGTCGAGAACGAACTAACGCGAGCTCGCGATATAACAACGCGTCGTTCTGGGCCCGACGAAAACCCACGTCAGATAGTTTCGCCCGAAGATAGGATTTGTAGACCATTCTAACTGCAGATCCAGGCGCGCGATCGACTACGCCCACGATGAAGAGGAAAAGAAGTGTTCCCGCAACGCCGCCCTGACGCTCGCCCGCCGCCTGCCGCCGGTCCGCTGCTTATACGACTCCAACCGCGACCAGATGCCGACACGGGCCTCCACGCGGAGCGGCAGGGCAGCGGCTGGGCAAGCAGGGCGAGGTCGGGCGGCGACACCTTCGACACCACGCACGAGGAGGTCTACCGCGCGATCGGTGGCGAGCTCGACGGCTCGCCCCTCGACGCGCAGCGGATCACGTACTCCCGCGAGGCGTCGAGCGGTATCCTCCTCGCGAGCGCCAGGGACAGGCACCCGCGGCGACCCCCCCGCTGATGAGACTGAGCTCGCTTCTCTCCGCGGGCTGGTGGACGGCCTGAGGGAGGAGCTGCAGCGGAAGCGCGATGAGGCTGCCGGCGATCGCCAGCAGCTTCAAGCAACGATCGACGACCTGATCGCCACCCAAGCAGCAGGACCTGGCCTTCCGGGGGGGGGTGCAACTGGTGGGCACAACCGCCCCACCATCGGCCTCTCGGGCCCCCGCTACACCCAGCGCCGAGGCGGCTAAGGCTACGGCAAAGGATAGAGCGCGGATGTGGGGGGACCTCCGCCGGGTAAAAGCGTGGCTCATCCTGGGGCGGCCTCCGGCAGTTTCAAAACTGTCGCAGATGGAGTGGCAATCCTTGCTTCGCAAAGGCGTCCTGGTGACAGAGAAAGTGGCGGCATCGCTCGACACGCTCGTGGTTACTGCTTCGCCTTCAACTCGTCGTCCGGTTGCCATGATCGTAACTGCCCACACATCCACGCCCAGAACCCTTCCCACGCTAGGCGCGGAGCGTCCGAAACTCCGGCAACCGGCGCGCGCGGCGTTGGCCACGGCAACGGGGGAGGGCGCGGAGGAGAGGCGCGCGCCGCTGGCGAGGGCGGCGCGAGACCCAAGGCCGCTGGCTTCTTCACCCACGGGAAAGACAAATAGGGGTGCGGGCTCTCCCGCGTAGCGGGGGGGCCTACCTCGGATGGCAGCGCACCTGCCGCTAAATCGAACGGCAGCACGCCGGTCTACACGAGGTTGGCTCCAGGGCTATCAGCAGGTTCAGGACCTGGGACAGGCAGGACGGGACTTTGTTACCGACGTCTTGGCATGCAGCTTCGTCGAGCACTCAGTTGCGTCTTCGTCTAGAAGGACTTACACGTCAGGCTTCAACTCTTGGTGCACGTTTCGCAGGCTGACGGAGAAGCCCAAGTTCCTAGGGCAACGTGCCGGGGACCTTCATGTGTGGGAGTTGATAGACTTCGTAGCCTGGTGTTTCGAGTCTGAGGGTAATCTAGCGAGTACAATATCCGGAAAACTCACGGCTGTACAACATTTTCATAGGCTGGAAGCTTCTGTCGAGCTAGACTTGTCGTCTCCGATGTTGAAATGTGCGCTAAGGGGGATTGCGAGGAACCACGTGGCTGTGGGGACGGTACGCCGTGTGCGCCTGCCTGTGTCTTGGCGTATGCTGCTGGACGGGGAAAGCGCAAGCCAGAACTGGGGGGAAGGGGGCAGAGTGATGTGGCTGTGTCTGTGCTTGTCCTATCTCTTTATCACACGGTCTGATGAGGTGTTCGCGAATGATGCGGGCAGGGTGCATGAGGCACACTGTCTTACGAGGGCGGACGTAGCATTGTTTGCTGGCGAGACGCAATTAGTCTTTAGTCACTATCGTAGAGCAGACCGTGTCGAAATGAGGTTTAGAGGGCACAAGGCCGATCAAGAGCAGAAAGGAAACATACGGGTTCGTACGCGAGACGAAGTCACCGGACCGCAGTCAGGTGTGAGAGCACGCGGCGGCGCGGTGGCTCTTGTGGTGGAGCTGTTATCGTGTCATGCGACGTTCCCTGACTCCGCACCGTTGGCTTCGTACCGCAGTGGAAGAGCAGTGAGAGTAGTGAGGTATACTGCTGCCCTCCGTGCACTCAGAGAAGTGGTAGCGAAGTCGGGGCGTAACCCCCAGGAGTACGCGTTGCACTCGTTGCGAATTGGAGGCGCGACGGCTCTTGCATCGGGCGGAGACATCGCAGAACGAGTGATTCAGAGAGAAGGGAAGTGGAGGTCGGATGCATACAAGCCGTACGCGCTAAACAATGTAGAGGATTCGCGGCGAGTGTCACGGAAACTTACAGACGGCAGTAGGATCGTATCGAGACAGCCGGGGGAGGGGACCGTCTGGGGGAACGGATAGTTGAGTTATTCGGTAGTCGTCCAGAAACTGACCTCGATGTGGGTGTTGTAGAATGGTGTGTACCATTTGAGGACTTGGTCAGTTTTGGGACTACTGCGTTTGCAGTCGTAGTCCCCCGGCTAGTATTTGTGGGGAGAGAGATGGATTTGTAAGAGTTGACGCCGGCCTTTGCAGCTAACGCGGCCGGAGAGACGATGAGCGTTTCGTGCGTCTCTCTCCCCAACACGTAGCCTAGAAACCGAAGAAATAATGAAGCAATTCGAAAGAAAACAAAATAAAGCCCGTGTCCGTTCTGGCTTTGCAGCCACGAACACGTCCCCCCAGGGTTGCCATCCCTGTGATCAGCGCTGTCTTGCCCGGAAAATTGCATCGACACAAGAGGTTCATCGGCTGGCTTTGCGAAGTCTCATAGACTCTTTCTCCTCATACATCGGGCGCAAAGAAATTTGTGCTCAAGGGGAGATTCGAACCCCGGACATGACACGATGACCAGTCAGCTGTTAAGAAGCACGATGACCACTAGACTACTAGTCAGCGCTGACTAGTAGTCTACAGTAGTGGTCATCGTGCTCCCTAACAAAAAGCTAAAATGTCCGGGGTTCGAATCTCCCCTTGAGCATACATTTCTTTGCGCCTGATTTATGAGGAGAAATGATCTATGAGACTTCGCAAAGCCAGCCAATGAACCTCTTGTACCGATACTTTTTTCCGGGCAAGACAACGCTGGCCACAGGGATGACAACCGTGGGGGGATGTGTTCGTGGCTGCAAAGCCAGCCTGGACACGGGCATTAACTTTTGTTAAGAAGCACGATGACCACTAGACTACTAGTCAGCGCTGACTAGCAGTCTAGTGGTCATTGTGCTTCTAAACAGAAGCTACACCGGAACACTCGCTCCATCGCCTTCCCCAATCGACATATTCAACCGGCGACATCCAGCGGCACGATACGTACAGTTTCGTCAGGGCCGTAAGAGAATCGAATATCCCAGCGGGCAGCGTCGTCAGATCGTTGAAGGGCAGGTTCCTGCGGGTTCATCGGGAGAACGAGAGAGGTAAGACGACCAAGGAGCTGGTGACACCCGTGGCTGTTGTTGCGTTTCGGTCGTGACTGGGCAGCAAAGTTCTGGGCGGCTTGATCCTCGAAAGTGAAGGCAGTGGCGGATTCATGCAACTTGGAACAGCGTACAGCCGATCTGCTTCCAGACATACCGCCTGGAATATCGTAGTCACTGCACCAGTTTTTACAACGCGCCAACTCTACAGCGCTGGGTTAGAGAACCGGGTCATCCCCACGGTATCCAACAAGCCACGTACATTTTGGGGACCTACCGGGCATCCGTCCCACCAAGCCGAAGTAGAGAACCACGGTGGTGCCTACCAATGACCCGAAACGCGCGCAAACTCAGCAGGTCCGTTCGTCGCGATACCGCAACCAAACCAATCGATATTATAACCTTGAAGACTCTCAGCTGAACGATACTCACAGTTCGATCAACAGGATCAGGTGGTCGAACACCCCAACGGGCAGCGTCGACAGGGAGTTGTAGCTCACATCCCTGTAATTAGGAATGAGGCACGCCGAGGTGGGGGGGAGCGATAGAAGAGATAAGTCTGGTGTTGCACCTTGGCCGTGGAAGGGACACGCTGGCTCGGAAGGCCCGATAGTTCAAGTCAAACCGGTGTCGGAGTCATGCAGCTTGACGCTCGAAGTCACATGTGTTTCAGGCTGCCAATGATGCCATGGTGTGCATGAGCCACCGTAGTACGAAAACACGAGTCTACACTAGATTTGACAGGACGGGCTGATTGGGCATAACGCAGCAAGCAACCTGAACTCTTTCGGGTGACCTCTCGACCATCCATCTCCTCCGAGAAATGCGTGTCCAAAGGTCGTGCGAGTGTTGCTGCTCGTGCCCAACGGAGCCCCTGAACGCTTTCGTCGATCGCAATATCAACCACCCACACTACTTCCCGCGACCTACCGCTGTACCTAAACTATCCCGATTTCAGCTACAGTAACTCGTCTTGACGAAGCAAACAACCCGACCGGCAGCATCTCCAACCCGCTACCGCTCTGGTCTGTATTTGTTCATTGGAAGAACGGGAAAGCCCGAATCGCGGGGATGAACGCAGTTATCACCCGTAAGTGGTAAATGTTCGGGTGACCTCTGACAACGTAACGGAACTGAGTCGTAATCGGCAGTAATGGCTGTCACGCACGTACAAAAATGTTCAACCACTTAGTGCTGCCGTTCGTCACGATCTAGCAGCCATCTATCATGTGTTCTTCAGCAACATCACCCCTGCAACCTTCAGCTGTATGATGCTCACATGGTAGTCAGCTGACTGCCTGAACCAAACATCCCGGCAGGCAACGTCGTAAGTTGGTTGAAGGACAGATCCCTGTACATTTGCAGGGCACACGACAGGCAGAGGACGAGTGATTTTCAAAGCAGACGTCACCAACCTAATGTTTAATTTCAGCTAAGAAAGCGGGCGAAGGCCTTGGTATTCAGAATACACCATGGCGATACTACGCGACTTTTCAACAGGTCTCATTCCATGTGCCAAAGTGACTAGATATAGTCATGGAGACCGTAGCCAGGGAATCAAACGATAACGTTCGACGGAAAGAAGATCATGAGAGAAGTACATGATCATGATCATGACCCACGGTGCGCAAGCAAACCGGACATGTTCGGTAGACCTTCCTGGCAACCGTCCGCTCCAACTCTGACACCAAAGAGGACCAAGGGTAGCGAGATTGTGTTAGATATTGGTGCGATACCAAACACTATCGGTATTCGCGATACCGCAGCCAACCCGTATCAAGTCCATACCCTCGATACCCTGCCTACTGTGCCATACGTACAGTTCGGTCAGGGTCGGGACAGAACTGAATATCCCCGCAGGCAGCGTCGCCAGGTTGTTGTAGGTCACATCCCTACGAGTTCGTCGGGAGTTCAAAGAGGTCCGCGAGAGGAGACAAAGGAGCAAGTTTCACCCGTTTCTGTTTGGGCTTTGCGGGCACGAGTGGGCCGCTAGTTTGAGAGGCTCCATCGTCAAACGTCAAAATGCCGTGGCGGATTCATGCAACATGGGACAGCGTACAGCTGATCTGCTTCAAGACACACTGCCTGGAGTTTCGTAGTCACCGCACCAGTTTTCACACGTACGCCCACTCTGCAGCAGAGCGTTAGGGAATCGACTCTTTCCCAACGGTTTAGCCAGCGAGTCGAATACACTGCACGACCTACCGGTCATCCATACGCACGAGGTCCAACTCATCACAGGCGGCTGCCGTTAGAATCGTCATTCGACGAGCTGAATACGGGAGCTACACCGAAACACCTCCGTTCATCGTTTTCTCCCATGGACATCTTCTGTCGTCGAATTCCAACTGCACGATACGTACAGTTCCGTCAGAGCCGTGAGAGAATCGAACATCCCAGCAGGCAGCGTCGTCAATTCGTTGTTGGTGAGGCCCCTGTGGGTTCGTCGGGAGGTCCAAGAGGGGACACAAAAGAGGAAGTGTCACCCGCTTCTGTTACTGTATTTCGGTCATGAGCGGGCTGCTAGTGCAGGCGAACCAATCGTCAAACGCTAAAATGCAGTGGCGGATTCTTGCAACATGGAACAACGTACAGCCGATCTGCTTCAAGACATGCGGCCTGAAGCATCGTAGTCACTTCATCGGTTTTCTAAACGCGCTCACTCTTAAGCAGATGGTTGGAGAATCGGCTCATTCCCCACGGTAGCAAGCGAACCGAATGCATCTGCACCACCTGCCGGTCGCCCCTAAGCACAAAGTCCAACTGATCGAAAGCGACGGCGTCGAAAGTCGTCATTCGACTACCTGCGTACGGGACTTACACCGAAACACCTCCGTTCATCGTCTACCCCTCTGGGCATCTCCTACCGGCGACATCCTGCTGCGCGATACGTACAGTGTGGCAAGAGCGGGGAGAGAACCGAACATTCCAGCAGGCAGCGTCGTCAACTGGTTGTAGCCCAGGTACCTGCGGGTTCGTCGGGAGGATGAGAGAGGTCCGGGAGACAACTGAGCAATGTCACCCGTGTCCGTTACTGCATTGCGGTCACGAGTGGGCTGCTACATTGAGAGCGTCGATCGTCAAACGTCAATGGCGGACCCTAGTGACACTTGGAACAACGTACAGCCGGTCTGCTTCGATACAGACTTGTCCGGAGTATCGTGGTCACAATATACATATGTTACCAAATTCTACAACGCGCTCATTCCACACCAGACGTCTGGAGAATCGGCTCATTCCCTACGGTTTAGAAACAAGCACGCCGAATTCATCTGCACGACCTTCCGGCCGTCCGTCCGTACGAAGTCCAACTCATCGAAAGCGACGACCGTGAAAGTCGTCGTTCGACCAGCTTTACACGGGAACTACACCAGAAGAATTCCGTTCTTCGTGTTACCCAATGGACATCTTTTACCGACGACATTCAGCTGCACGATACGTACAGTAGCGTCATGGCCTGAAGCGAATCGAAAGTCCCAGCAGGCAGCGTCGTCATGTCGTTGGAGCTCATGTACCTGCGGGTTCGTCGAATACACGACACAAACCGAGGAGGAGTGCCAACAGACCACCGTCGATCGTGTCATCATAGGTTCACTCGTCGGTGGTGTTGCCAACCCAAGGATAAGACAGTAAGCGAGTGACGCAACTTTGGGTCAGCGCACCGTTCGATCTTCTTCAGGTTTCCATGTATACGCAGAGAGGCAGTTGCGGCACCAATTGAAAACACCTTCCCATACAGCATGGGCGACCGGACCGGCTCATTCGTTACGGTTGTGCGCGTGAGTCAGACGCATTTTGGTGACTAGCTGGCAATCAATCTTAACAAGTCTTGAGTTTTACCAACCAGTCGCGAGAGTACCATTCATCCTGCTGCGAAGGATGATGCCATTCAATACCACCGTTCATCGTTGTACGACAACCAAACCCCATCGGTATCACTTTTTTGCCAGTTCATATTAATTTTTCATCGGGAACGATGTATCGACGAGAGCTGCTACGGCCGCCCATTGCACAGCGTAGTAGGCGTCAGGATTCCGGGTTCAATCACCACGATTCCGCAAGCAAGCTGACACATTGGGACTTCGCAGACTCGTTGACCTCGGGGCAATTGGTCTACAGTACATCAAGTCGAAGCACACACAAAGGTCATGGGACATCTCTCAGCTCGCCACAGGACGGGCAGGAAATTAAATGGCAGATCGTCGGGCTGTCACAGCCAACACCCAAATATATCATATGATACCATCTCGAACCTACTGCTGTACGGCACTCACGCTTCCGTCAGGAGATTGAGAGAATCGAATAACCTTTCAGGCAGCGTCTCCAGTTCGTTGTAGCTTGGGTTTCGTGGTATTGTCGGGGGGGTGAAGATGGGCTACAGAACCGCAATAGCCACCCACCCTTGCACTTGAGCCTTTCGGCCACAAAGGAGGGTGCTAGCTCTGAAGGCGTGAGCGTCCGAGCTAAAAGCGTGGGCGACATCATCACATAGCCTGGAATCACAAACTCTACTCGATCACATTAGATTGTTTACATTTGCATGGAGTACGTTCAATTGGCAGACACCCTCATTCATAAAAGTGAGATAATTAGCTCATCAATCATGTTGCGCAACCTAGCGGGGCTTCGGCATTATTGGGTTTTTGGTCAAATTGAGTGATCGGGTCATCATGACTCACAACCTGATTTCACCCGGTCATGACTCGGTCATGACAATCCGGGCATGACTGGGTCACGACCGAGTCATGATCACGATCGGTTCATGACGCAGTCTTCGAGATGGAGTCATGACTCCCAGCATGACCGAAAAGTCATGCCTCGGTCATGCTTGGGTCATGACTCGGCATGACCGAGTTGCGACCAGTTCATGGCCCTATTATGACCGAGCCATGACTCGGTAACGATTTCCTTTACAATAGACTATCGGGTTTGGCATGGGCATGAAAACGGGCTAATACCCCTTCCGCGAATCCTAACCATGACCCCAAACCCGCACGATGGGTGCTACGGTGGCGCTCGGCGGATGCGTTCTAGGTGAGGCTGCGGGCATAGGTGCTGGTTTGATTTTCAAGGCAATATTGCTAGGTGGTCTACCGGCATAGGTTCTAGGCTGGCGTTGAAGCATAAACTCTACACAGACCATCGATTCATGGTTAGACAATGACATGATCGTGTCTTGGTCATGGTCCACTTGTAGTGACCCGGTAATGACACCATCCCCAATCGTGATTGACCTACAACCTGAAATCCTAACCCTATTGGGTATTCTCACGCTGTTGTTCTTGTTGTTGTTGTCTTCTCACTTAAACCGTTCCGGTCTCCGCTCAGTACCTTCGTGTGTCCGTACTGGTCCAACTGACGCGGACATATTCCGTGGCCACAAGCCAAATCCCCAAAAGACCTTTCTAAAAATATTGAAAAAATGGACCCCAGAAGAGTCCTCCAAGGCGCGAGTTGTTTTCTACCGAAACGAAAAAGACAAACGAAGGGAAACTATCCGGAATACAGACGTGTGTCACAAAAAATGACTTGACAGGTTCCGACGCATATCGTAAACACGATAGTCTCCGTCACCTGACGGTCACCTCCAAAGCGAAACTCCTTGAGGCCCCAGCAAGCTATTCTCCAACTGCATTTCCAGACAACCGCCTTTCCCAGCCACCCATGGCGTGTACATCCTGGCATCTGGTGGCTATCAAACCATGCAGTTTCCGGCTCCAAATCAAAGAACGCTCACAGCTCAGCAAACGACCAACACATCGAAAAACCGTGGTGAAGCTGCATCTAGATGGAGCGGATGTTCCAGGTTAGAGGTAAGACTGGAGTTGACCTATTACTCCAGCAACCAACAACCTTGCAATGGCAGCATTAGCGCGGTGGGAGTGTACCAATTTGGCTCGCCAAAAAGAAACGTACCACTGTCCATCTTCGCCCTCACTTTCATGTTGCAGGTGCTTGCATGTCCCGTGGTTGACATGGGACTGTTCTACACTCAACCATCTAAACACACGATATACATTCGGTACGCACGATGGAGTCGCGGTATCATTCGTCGACATAGTATTTAGTTGTGTCCTCGATGTCGGAGGAGGCCTTCAGGCTCTCCCCAAGAACACGCTGTCCCACGTCTGCGGCAAGAGCAGCGCGATACGCCCCCCCTAACCACTCAGCTTGATGTCAGACTCACAAGTTCTGGATGTTGTTTTCTCCAAAGTTTTCGAAGCATGCCGTCAAATCTCCCGCCACGACGTCGTCATCGGTAATGTCGCACCAGCCTAGATCCCTGGAGGAATCGCCCGGAAATACCCCACAATACGTTGCGGACAAAACGTTAAATACGACCCTTTCGGTGGTGGAGCGCTTTTTCCATCGTGCTTGCGTGGCTAGCCATTTCCGCGCCAACTTATCCTTCCAAAATGTGTTGGAAGGCATGCATCTTTTGACGGCGTCAGTGCGGTTCCAAGAATTTCGTGAACAACCCAACGAGCATACCAAATCTTGACATCGGCACTCACAGGTTGCTTCTGGATGAGAACGTGCACCGGCCGGTGTCGAGGTCCAAGCACGAGTTCACTGCATCGAAAGAGTGTCGATCACACAGGATGACGGCGTTATTAGGACACAAAGAACGACGAGGTCTCACGGCGATCTCAAACAGATTCACATGTTGTGGGATGGACGTCGCGATGAAAACAGCTTCCAGGAAGACAGCATGGTATGACCAAAGCCGGACGGCAAAAGACAAAGGACTCAGCACCAGACGACGGCTAAATGGCATTGGAACGGTTCAATAGAGACAAGCTCAGTTCTAGGTTGCCTTCAGCCTCAGTTGTCCTGCCCATGTATTGCCGTGACCACCAGTACAAGGGTTTTCCTAACGTGTTCCAATCCACGAAAGGGGCACCTATTGGAAAACCAAAAATATCCTCGCCCTTCCAAAACTAAGTTGACGGCGCACGATACTTCATAATAAAATGAATTGGTTCGGAACATACGAATTGCAAGATACGATGCGTGTGATTTAGCAATGTTTTGTTCGGTTCTCGCGGCACGAGGATCTACCGACGTTTTGCCACACCAGCTCGAAAGCGACGAAAGCAATTGCGCGAATGAACGCCTGGTACATCGTCTTGAATGCAAACGATCGTGAAAAAGGTGCTAACAGTTTTTTACCGAGTGGTTGGGTACAAGCTGGTGCACAGAATGGATCCACATCTATTAACCATAGCTGCCAGACAAACATTATACACAAAATGGACATATGTGGTATCACAGTGACCCTCATGAGCAAAGGGACACATCGTCGTGGCCGGATATTCGATCTGAGTCATGGCCACAAAGTTAAGGGTTTGAGGGTACCTCAGCCCATCGATCGCCTTCAACATGAACCGGTCGCCCCGGTGGTCTAGTTGAAAACCTCGACACCTTCTAGAGGTCAGGTCAGGGGTTCGAATCCCGGCGTAAGCGAGCATTTCTTGCAAAGTGAGTTTTTCTCTCGCTTCCGCTCCTGGCCTATAGTGGATAGCGCTAGTTCGTGTGTACACTGAGGGAAGAGAGTGCTGAACTCTTCTCGCATTAATAATCGAAGGCAAACTACCGCAGGAGGGGAGGGTAGAGAGGGGCTCTTCTGTGTGACCACGGGTTGGAGTAAACGGCGCTAGTGCTGTGAGCGCTGATTTGAAGTGAAGACAAAAAAAAAAAATGATATAAAACTCATATTCCTGCAACACCGCACTACCAGCCCCTCTCTACCACGTTTTTGTAACGTTGAAACAAAGTAATCCCTGCATTCTAAGGGACCTGGCCAAAAGACATTTGGGAAGCGAGTTATGCCCAAAAATATAATGGTTCAGCTGCCGCGATTTGGTGGCGTCGAATTTCTACTTGATTGTACCTTGGGATCAAATAGAAAGAAAGCCTCGTGATTTGCGGTGCGTAAATATCGAACGAAATGTTGAAAATTCTTTAATGCTGACAGCGTGGTGCAGAAAAATGCGGCAAACCGTTCAAGAAAATTGAGAGACCATAAGGACTCCTGACAGGCCAATTGGGGTCCTCGGTGTGGGATCCCCGAAAGCCGGTGCCATGTGTTTGAATGTCGTTTTTCATGTTTGTTTCCGCTCAGGCATAGCGCAACAAAGCTTTCCAGTACGGTTGTATGACAACTTGTAACGCTGACGCAACAGGGTACATTGCAGTGTAAGAGGGGCCCGGCGGGTACGATTCTTCACTAATTTTGAAGAAGTTTGGGGCAAAGCAGGATGTGGGGTGATTCATTGCGCAAACGCTGACAACCTCAAGCCGTGTTTTCGAGTTAGACTCTGAAATGTATGACATATGCGCTTTGGGTCAATGCAAAACTCTGTGTGATTGTGCCTTCTGGGACAACGGATATCCGTCGACAACAGAAGAACACGAAAAAGGGTACTAGACGAGACGCAGTTTCTCATTGACCCACAGTACATGTGTGTGCAGAGTTTCAGAGTGTATATCCAAAAATCGGCGTGAGGTTTCCAGGCTGAATATCGTTTCGTAACCATGTCCGTGAACGATCTTGTAGCCGGTTCCAAACCGCACTGACTGGAACACCCTGCAGACTTGGGGTACCGATTCCAACGAGACAAACTACCACGCCGGTACAGCCACCATCGACTTCGCCCCCATCTATTTACTGTCCGAGAGTGCATTCCATTGTAGTACTGGGACGCAGTCATTTGTTTGGAAGTGGCAATACGATTGGGTTGTAGAAACATTACTCGACAAAGAAAGCAAGCAGACTAAGGACGTTTCAAGACGGGCTCAGGGGATCAGCTTGAGACACGTTTCGAGCTAGTGGTTGACAGGAATTGCTTCTGGCAGCGGCAAAGAGCCAGAATTGGTTGGTGCGCTCATCCCTGAGATATGCAATAATCTGTTCGCGGGTGCTGGCGCGTTCTGACCACGAACATTGGACGGTCCTCAGGAGCCTTGCAAGGGTGGATAAACGTACGGGAAATGAAACAATGTCTTGAATGAATGAAGATTACTAGGCTGATCCTCCTGCGCTCGGAGCTGGCAGTCGTCTACATCATCTCGCTGGTCCTACACGAAAAACCTCTGTTTTTCGTATGAGTTGACCTAATTGAAACGATCGCCACAAGGAGTGGAAAACCAAGACCATCAAGTACGGGGAACACCGGGTCCTCAATTCATTGTTGCGGGCGAAAATCGAACCTCTGTGGATACATAGTCACACCGGTCACTCTTCCGCCGAAGTGGTGTCTCAAGAACGCCGTGTATGCTAACAGGGTTAGGGGCTCATGGAAACGTGGTAGGAACGCCGCGTGTCTCTCAGTGTAGCCCCAGCGACTACGTCCGTTTCGAATTCAGGATAATTGTTTCACGGCCGACTCCAAGGAGAGCAACCATTTGCTTCGCAATGCCGCCTTGTGTCGTCGTAGCACATCCTTCCACTGCCCTGTTCACCGGTTGTATTGATCCCATGGCTTGAACGCGAACAACGAGACATGATATTTCCGTGCAAATGGATTACCAGCTTGGGGATACGCCCATTTGAGTGGCACTGCCTCGCTAACGCAACCACCCTGAGTGTGGTCGTCGACCCACAAACTACAACCAAACAGCCAAGCGGTGGCCGCAAAATGATTGAACTCTTTCGCCGAGAAATATGCCCTAGGAAGACGAGTAGAGTCCCGACGCAAGCCATTGGTTGTGCCAACCTACCAGCACCGGTGATGACGCCGCCGCACGCCACCAGTAACGCGAAAACCGGTGGGAAGAAGTTACTCATTCTGGGGTAGCACGACGAGCTGCCAAAACTGATCAAAGACGCAAAATGCAAGGGGGGTGCGGAACGGAAAGGTCACCATCGTCCAAACAAGGAAACCGATCGGCTTGAGTCATCAGCAACGAGTTCTCCGGCAGGCCTCGGCGAACATTGAATCGAGCAAGAAGCAGGCATACCGTTCCACATCCAGGCGCTATTTCGGCGCGAATATAGCAAACGAATTCAATCCATTGCAACGGCACGGTGTGGGTTTCGGTGTGGACAGGTGCAAAGCGTGGGGTTCAACGACAAAAGATCAACGCGAACATGATGCTGGTGCAAGGGAGGGGGCTTCGACAGGGGGACGCCATCGAAATCGGTGCCCTACACTCGCCCGTTTCACGTGACTCATGTACTTGTCTCACGGTGTGCTCGTTCCGATACTATTTTTCGCAGACTGCCATGGTTGCGTAAGTTTGTCGATATTTGGGGGAGTAGTGCAGTCCAGTAAATGTGCTGCTTTAGAGTGACATTACCAGCTAGTGCGTCGTCTCGACATCATAACCCATGTCTGCTCACTACCTAGAAAGTGGCTGTTCCAACAGATGCGGACACCTTCCGTGGGCAAGACTGTCTCGACCAAAGGTATGTGCAAGAATCAAGAGACGAACAGAATGACCCCAGAAAAAGAGAGCACATGCATGAACGACCAGTAGAAATGAGACCCCCGAAGAAAGGGCTCAGATTGATACTCGCATTTGTTAGTTTTTGCCTCTGATGCGTTTGTTTGTTGGTTTTCCTGTTTGTCAGATCACGATCCGTTAGGAATGTATTGTGCTGTCAGCTGCGGTGTCAAGCCATCGGTACACTTACGCACAATCGACAGTAGTATGTACATGGGCCTCAGCACCGTTCGGATGGCTTGTCAATGGGTCGGATGCTCCCGCACGTTTGAATGACCTTGATATGGCCGCATTTCTGTCGACAACATTTGTATACTTCGAACCCCCGGCACCTTGGCAAGCCCCCGGTGCTTTGGAATGGCACCTCGTCAAATCCAACACTTTGTTCCATGTAGCCATGACAAAGGTTCTCCCTGTCAGACAAGGGCCAATGTTCGAAAGTCCCTATTTACGAGCTTTGTTGTGAACAACGGGTAGTAGGCGGAGTCTTCGAAGGTAGGCTTATGATTATGACGGTCGAGCTGGGTGGTAGTTCGCGAAGGTGGTATAAGCGACTCCGAATCCACCGTGCGACGGCGACATCAAGCATATCAGGCTGGTGGGCATGGGCCAAAATATCCAGCTGACGCTTCTAGAGAAGACTACGACGACCGACACCCTGGAACGTGGTGCTGGCACACCCACATAACGGCGACAAGTGTCCAGAAGTACATGTTTGACCTCCAATATGATTAGATGAGTTGAAAGACGCACCGAATCGGTGACGGGTGAGTAGATGTCAAAGGTGTTGTTGTGTCGAGAATCCTCAAGCAATTTTGAGACAATTGTGAAATGTTGCAGTTGCACAATCAAAGCGGAAGTTGAATGAAAACAGCGCGTTGATATTTGCGTGTCAAAGATGGGGACTTTTTGCTGGAGGGCGGATACCTTGTTGGTGGTTCAGGGTACCGAAATGCCTTTGATAAGAGTTGATGCAGACGTTACCCATCGAAAATACGTATAATGACTATACAACCTGGGGTGGGGCGAATATCGTGCAATATATATGCCAACCCAGGTGTAGAAATAGTCAATATACAGCTTGGGGTAGTTTTGAAGGTGACATGCTATGACGTGGCGTGAAGGAATTGACTTCGGACCGTTTGGGTCTGTAAGCAGGGCTAATCTAACTTCTGGTTGATGCCATCAAGCAAGGGTATGCACAATGTACGATGTGTGGAGTACATAGATAGGAGGATCCAGAATCTTTTGAAGTTGAGGTTTACGTTCGAAATTTGGGATTTAGGGGGAGAGAGAGAGAGAGTCGGGTGGAGTGCGCCCTGCTGTTCAGAGTCTTCTCTGCTGTTCGCCGCCCAATAAGGCCAACAACACACACCTGTATCGCGGACACCTTTGAGACGAACACCCACAATACCTCACCGGCACATCTACATGAATATCTGCGCGGGATAGGCCACTGCCGGCCGATCGCCCGACAAAAAAACTATCCGGGAGACCATCGAACCCGGCCAGGAACAGAACAATTTTTTATGTTATATTTGACATTCAATTATTGTTCACAGCACACACGAGCTCCAATCCACGGTCACACAAAGGCCTCCTCTCCGTCACCCCTTCCTGCGGTGCTTCCCTTCGAGAAGAGTGAAGCACTCTCTTCCTCTAAAGTGCTCACCTGGTGTTCACACGAACTACTGTACTGCTTGTAGCGTTCCACAACCAGGAGCACAAGTGGGAGAAAAACTCTTTTCTAGCAAGAAGAGCTCGCTTACGTATGCCGGGGTGCGAACCCTGACCCTGGGTGCTAGAAAGTTTTGAGGATAGCAACCAGAGTGCCGGGGCAAGGAAAACAAAGTCGAAGAAAAATAGAAGAAAGAGGCGGAAACAGGCCACACCCAAAAACGAGAACAAATCTTAGAGCGAGAGAGAAGGGCATGGGGGTGCTATTCACCGCCGTGGGGTTGCACCGGCGGAGCTAATCCTCACATGCTCACCCAAAAAACACAACTCGTGTGGCTGATCCAAGGGTCGCTCCACCGGAACAACAAAAGTCGATTGGTGGTAGACATTCAAGATGGACAGCAGCAGAGTGGATGACGCCTGCCTGTGGTAGACGTACGTTCGTTTCGCGGGGGAGACACATACGGCGTAGTGGACTTACTTGCGGTTCGCAGAGAGCTTTTGGGGAGGGTGGTTGTTGATGTTACAGGCTGAAGATGGTGGTGAACAGTGGGAAGGTGGGTTG